AGATAAGATTCTTGTTTATTGGTTTAGCGTTAGCAGAGATAAGATTCTTGTTTATTGGTTTAGCGTTAGCAGAGATAAGATTTTTGTTTAGCCGTTTATCGTTAGCAAAGATAAGTTTCTTGTTTATTGGTTTAGCGTTAGCAGAGATAAGATTCTTGTTTATTGGTTTAGCGTTAGCAGAGATAAGATTCTTATTTAGTGGTTTAGCGTTAGCAGAGATATGTTTCTTGTTTAGCTGTTTAGCATTAGCGGAGCTAAGACTTTTGTTTAGCGATTTAGCTTTTGTGGAGCTTTGATTTAGCGATTTAGCATTAGCAGAGAAAAGTCTTGTTTAGCTGTTTAGCATTAGCAGAGAAAAGTCTTGTTTGGCAGTTTAGCATCAGCAGAGATAAGATTTTTGTTTAGCGATTTAGCGTTGGTGGTGCTAAGATTCTTTTTTATCAGGTTTGTGGTTAGTGAAGCTAACGTTTTGGTTAGCTGTGCCCACCACAGGATAAAATTTTGAAGACCACCCCAAAAATATAATAGGCCAAACAGGAAGAGGTTAGAGCTTCAAAATAAGATTCAGATGACTCTACAATGCCAGCAGAATAAATGGTGTAGTTTTGAACTTGTTCTGTCAGGAAAGTTCTAGTTTTTCATTTTTATGTCTTCTCTCTCTCTCTTTTTTCTGGTTTCTGTCTTCAGCTGTCTTACGGTTCCAGCTCACCGGCCCTGTCCAACCGCCAGCGCTTCCCCACCTTCTTCCGCACCCACCCGTCCGCCACCCTCCATAACCCCACCAGGGTGAAGCTGTTCCAGAAGTGGAAGTGGACACGCATCGCCACCATCCAGCAGACCACTGAAGTTTTCACTTCGGTCAGTTCTCTCACCTCCTTCACCTCAATTTCACAGGTTTCTTTTAGCTGCGGCTCTTTGTTCCTGCTCTTCTTTTATCTCCCCGCCGTGGCTGCGGTGTCCCATCATTACGCCTGAATCCACCCTGTTGGCTCCCTGATTGCCTGCCCGCCTCTGGATGTTTGTTTACGGGAGGTTTTTTTGTGTTCTCTGGTCACAGAGCTGCACCTTTAATCAATCTCTGCCGCTGACTGATGGGGATTTTTTTTGAAGTAATTTGTTTTAATATTGGTTGTTAGAAATATTGATCAGGCAACACGTCCCTCTCAGATACAGTAGTCGATACGGTGGCATCTGCTCTGTTTCCCCTTTAATGGAACTTAATGATTCTGCTCCTTCCCTCCTCTCGCCTCCTCCTTTTCTCATTGCCAGACGTGTAAAACAAAAATGGTTTTTCTGGTTCTGTCTCCTCCACGCCTCTCCTGAGGCGAGTGAGTGAAACATTTACAGATGAAGATGAGTTTTCAGCCTTTGAACCAGGTGGATGACTGTGGGAACAAACGCTGCTGTCTGAACCTTCCTGTGTTCAGAGTTTTAGTTTCAGTCTTTAAGAAGCTCCACTTGTTGGAATAACTTATTTATCTGATAACAAGACTGAGTCAGAACCAGTTAGGAGCTCTTCACTGATGGTAAATAAATATTAAAATATTAATTACATGATATAAAATCAAACATTAACACATTTACTCTAAACAGATTTGGATTAAATTTGAGTAAATTAGGCCCCGTCTGGATGCTTATCGTCCACTGGAACATTTTTGGCATGCATTTCTGACCAGAGCTTGCAAGAATCTCAAATTTGAAGGAGCTAAATGAGCAAAACCAGGAAATAAATGCTAAACTTAGCAAAACAGGAGCTAAAAGCTAAGATCAGCAAAGCAGGAGCTAAAAGCTAAAACTAGGAGCTAAATTCTAAAACCAGAGAAAAACACAGGATCTTAAAGCTAAAACTAGTAAAACAGTGGATAAATAATAAAATTAGCTGAACTAAGCTAAGCTT